TTACACCGCAGATAAGTAAAGCATGGAAATTGCACTTACTACTTGTAGGTACGATTAGCCACAGATGTTATAGTACATTACTTTGTTATATCTCATTACTTAAACTTACTTCGTAATTGTCATCGTCAGTATATTTTGGAGGCACGAGCTGGTAGCAAGTTCTCTGCTATGCTAAAATAACGTATGAATTGCGGCCTCGAGATTTAAGTCTATTACCTAATAATCAGTAATCTCATTAAAATGCGAATGTTTGGATTGATGGATGAATGAATAGTTTGTTAAAAAGTATCTTCAGAACAGTTGTCGAGATCGCTCTGAAATTTGACATAGATGTAGAACATACATATCAGTCTTTCCCCTAGTGGGCGATAACGCCCCCTTGTGGGCGCTGCAGGTCTTACGTTGCGGGTTATAGTCAAAGTTTCGTTTAGAATTCTCGGTTAATTTACATATATAGGTCACAATAATTAATTAATTTAATTTGAAGTTATAGTGGTTTTTAAATATGTCAAAATATGGGGGCGCTGGGCAAAAAGGGCTGCGCAGTTCTGCCAACTGCAGTCTCTTACTGTTATACCTGTTGACACATTCCTCCCGCCCTGGACATGGTAAAAAAGGGCACTATAGAAATCTCGCCCAGGGCGCTATAGATGTAAAACCGTTCCAATATGTGCCGCTTGCCACTCGCCACTATGTCACATTCATTTCAAACCCACATCTTCAATTCGAAAAAAGCTTCGTTCAAATCGTTTCTATCAATGTTATTAACATAATGACTATGACCTAACCTTCATTTAAAAAAAAAAACCGTCTGACTGACGCTCCAATGGGTGAAATAGCGCCATCTATTGGTTACATTTTAGAACTGAGAATTCATATATTTTTGAATTTGAACCAAATAAACTGTAAACAGCACTTTGGCATTTTGGAACATACTCGAAAACATAGAAAAAACGATAAAGCTGTAAAGAAAAAATTTCAGCTAGTGAGGTTTGAACAAGACATAATTTTTTTCAGTAATTTAGAATTTCAGTTTTTTATGTCCACTGTATGTGTTTTGTGCCTATGGCATTTTGGGGAAGATGACCAATGGAATGACATCTCACTCGTCAAATCGGTTTATGTGATAAGCTCTAGGCCGCCACAACGGCATTTACATATATAAACCCACTCATATAAAAAACTTACATTGAAAAATGAGGACTAACTTCTTGGTTCAAAAGTAGGATTTTTTTTATTAAGAATATAGAAAATGTATTTGCCATGCACATTTCGTAAGAAATATTAGCATAGTCAGAGTTTGGTTAGCTTAGCAAAATCGCTTGGTTAAAAATCAAAGAAACTTTTTTGTTTCAGTATGCGCAGTATGATGGTTAAAAACTACATATTTTCAAGAAGGTGAAATATGTATTTTGTTAGCATAAACTAAAATTCTGCTAGTAGTCAACATGTATGAAGGTCAAGTAATCTTAGTCTTGTTGAAATAATATTTAAAAATACATATTACGAAACATTTTTTATTTAGTAAATAAAGAAATAAATATTAATTAGGACATTCTTAATCATAAAAGGATTCCTATGAATTAGCTGCGTGCACTGCAAGCGGGCACGATGTCGGAGCGCTCGCAGCTCTTGCTCTGGAAGTTGAAGCCGAGTCCCGACGGGCAGACCATCAGGATGTACACTCTGTTGCGGCACATCAGGAACTGGTTGCAGCCGCCCACACTATAGGGGTAAATGTCACCGTTCGAGCAGTCAGTCCTGGGAGCGGCCGTCGAGGTAATAGGCGCTACTGTCGTAGTGGTGGTGGTTGTGGTCGGGGGCTGTTTCGTGGTAGTTGTTGTCGTTGTCGAGGGTGTCGCATGCTCGATGCAGGGTACTCTGGGAGCAGTTGTGATGACGCATGCGCTGCTGGTCCTGACCTCCTGCTGGGCACAAGGCTCGAGCGTGGCCGGCTGACACG